ACATTTATAATATTATTTTACACTCTGTAGGTCTAAGTATTAATCAGAGGACAAAGTAATATTTAATAGTTTGTGTTAAATTGTAACATGACTCAACAGTGCTAAACTCTGTATATATGCTCCACAAGCTAATATCTGCTAACCAGTTCAATAACTAACAGTGATTACATGCATCAACGCTTTTAATAACCGATTTTTATCGATTTTATCGACTCATTGTTGCAGCCCTATTTGTTTACTTCAGTGATCCTTTCACTTGAGGAAGGTTTCTTCCTCTTCCAGCTCTCTGTGGCTTGTGTTTTCATGTGAGTTCACAGTTGTGTCCTCCTGTGCTGCTGTAGTTAGATGTCTTTGTAAGCCTTGTGTTTATGTCTCCAGGCTCGTTTGCAGTTCTGCCCTCAGCTCTCAGCAGAGTTCCAGCTCCTCCCTGCCAGCAGTCAAGCTCAGTGATTAGTCTCAGGCTGGCCATCGTTGTGTGTTTGGCTGTTGTCTTAGCACTGCAGATCATTGTATGGTTGGACCAGCTGCTCCTGGCTTCAACCCTAAGAGGCCCCAACACTAAATATCTTAACATTCATGTTTCCGTGGTGTTTGGACCCAAACGTCTCTAAATGCTTTGTGTGAACATTAGGGAGAATTTTCCTCTTTAAACTGGACATAAAACAGAACGTTTCCTTAAATACTCACAACGTTTTCACTTTTCTTCCATTGAACTGAGAATTGTTGCAGAGACTCGTCTCTGAGCACTGACCTGTTCCGATGCCATCAAACAGAGAGAGAACACGGAGGGGGATGCGCAGGCTGGCAGGGATGGATGGGTACACACGATGAGGCTCCTACAAACAAGTGTTAGTGAGCAGCTTCAAGCTTTCCTTGTGAGTTACACAACAGAACAAGTCCCTTTACTGTGACGTTTCACATCAGGGCTGAACCATTTTGGAAAATAATCTAATTGCAATGTTTTATCTGTAAATTGTAATTTAACATGCAGTTTTTTTTAAATGTCTTCAAGTATTTTCCAACAAACAGAAGCAATAAATCAATGTTTTATAATAAACAGAGTCAGATTTATTTAAAGCACAGATTATAATAAAGCAAACAAACCTGTGGCTTCACCTGTTCACCATTTCTAATTGTTCTTGTTTCATGAAACATATTAAACATGTTCAGTGAGCTTCCTAAACGCTGTCTGAACTTCACAGGACAGTTTATAAACAGAAAAAAATTATAAATATAAAGAATAAAGCTTTCCAGCTAATAAATAACATCATGTAAAAATAAAGTACAAAAAAACAAAGAGAATAAACA